TCAGCAGCACAGCACCTGCCTGGCAAGCACAAGGTCCTGAGTTCGAGTCCTAGGAGTTAGGTGAGCGCACTGTGCTCCTTAGACAGGCGTGGAGCACACCTGAGGGCCTAAGATGAGGCAGTTGGGCCCGATGTGAAGCCGTGGGAAGGCGCAATTGCTCGCCAGGCTCAGCGCTCCACGAACAGAGGCTCAGTGGCACCGCTGTACGTGGCAGGCAGGATTTCCTACCAGGGCATGGGGGTTGTAAGTCACATAGATCAAAACAGCCCAAAAGAGACCCGGCAGAGCCCACAATACCGCCTTTAGCCTGGCTTATTTTAAGGACTCCCCAGTGTCATTCTCACATGACCACAGTCTTTTGTTTCAAAAGCACCCTAATATGGAGTGGCTGTTCTCCCAGGTCAGATCACACTTCGGAGGGGTGATCTTAGCTCCAGCGCTTCTGTGGCCCCCACGTCTGGCTGAGAATCATCAACACAGAACGGTGACCTCTGTGGCCCCAGGAGAGACCTTGGTCGGGAGGACCCAAGCGCTGGCGGGGCAGGAGTGAGACGCCGCACCGGGCCGCGTTTGGAGTTCCTGTCCCACAGACAGACTCCTGCTGCCCGCCACCTCCCTGCCCACTGTCAGGGGCTTGGACGCAGGTCCTGTCCACCTCCCATCAGGGTGCAGCGCAAGGCTAGCACTTGCAGCAGAAGGGACTGGATGTGTTTTTTCACTGCCGCGGGTGTCTTAAGCTGGGTCTCTAATGTGCAGGCTTGACAGGATAAGAAAAGCATTTAAGGCAGTGATAGGAGAACCGAGCTCTCCACCACTACAGGAGCCCAGCCCCAGAGGGGCACGCTCACCCCAGGAGGCCCTACAGAGGCCTGTTGGGGTCACCTCAGTTCTCCAACAAGATCGACTCGCATTAGAGTCCTGAGAGCCCGCAGAGAGCAGGAACACAGAACAACAAGGAGTAAGCGCAACCCCCCCAAGAAATCTCTTGAGATGACTGGGATTATGGAATGCTGAGCCCAGGGAGGCGATTTCAACGCTGCTGCCCTTCTATGGGTGCCCGTCTGCATCGGTGCCAAGCTCGGGAAAGGCACCTCCAGGGCCCAGGAGATGGCAAGGCAGCTGCGTGCCAGAGCCAGGACTCCAGTGGAGGGGGGGAAGGGAGCGCACGTCGGGGGCGCACACCGTGTCGGGGCGCACACCGTCGGGAGTGCGCATCGGGAGCGCGCAAGTAGACAGAGCGGGCGCGATCTCGCGGAACCACCGTCGCGTGCGCCTCCTCTGGAAGAAGCCGAGACTGCAGAGGCCGAACTGGTGCTTCGGGCCTCGGCACACAGCAGCAGGCAGGGTGGGTCAGCGCAGGGGCAGCCCCTGCAGCGGTCGCCAGGCCATGAGCCCCGGCGGGGCCTCCGGGCTCCTGCTCCCTCCTGGCTGCGCGCTGCCCACCGCGGGAAGGCGCCGCCCTGGGTGCTCGCCACGCTCCTTGCGCCCTAATGCACTTCCGCCTGCCCTGTGGAAGGGGAGAAGCGCGCAGCCCCTCCTGCCCGAGCAAAGGTGAGCGGCGCCTAGCCCACACCTAGAGGGCCAGCTGGGGCTAGTTCTCGACTACGGCTTCACGATCGGCTTTACTCAGGGTTCGCGAAGAGCTGTGCACAGCCTTCTCTGTCCCTCATGCTGCCCGGGCGCCCTTGTCTGCCGCTTCCATCTGGTGTGAGCAGCCTGACACACTTCCTCGGTCCTCCGGGAGCAGATTTTGAGAAGGGAGAAAGTGACTCCAGCCTCCCTGGCCGGGGTAGCAAGGAACCTTGAAAATTGGAAGGATTGGGGCAGGGAGATGGCTCCGCAGAATAAGCACTGGCCTAACAAGTGCAAGGGCCTGAGTTCAATCCCCGGTTCTGCAAAAAAAAAAAAAAAGGAAAAAGAAAATTGGAAGGACTAATGTACATGTCGTTTTCTGGCTGCCTTTCCAGTGTTTCTTTTCCCCAAGCCTAACGGACAGGCAAATCTTCCCAGTGGAAAAGCACCTTTTCCAGTAAGTCAGAAGCAATGGGTCCAGGTAACCTTTGAGCAAAACCACATAGATCGGTTGTAACGGCGGCGTTGTGCAATGTGGAGACGCCTTGTTTACGTTTCCCCGGTAAAACTGAAGATTCTAATCACAAGGACAGATTTCACTGGGGTTACTCTTAGAAAATAATGTATAAATACACACTATAAAGGAATTAATCCTGATTTACTCGGGCCAGAAGATACAAACTTTAATTTTTCAGCACACAGTCTTAAGCTTGTATTTTTAGAACCCACCTCGAGCTGCAACGAGGAAAACGAACTTTCCCCTGCTCTCACGCTGAAGGATCCACACGCAGCCTTCTGTGAGCCCGGCCGTGGGGCTTCTCCTCCCAGAAAGCCTGCTGCGCGCTCCGCAGTGGACACAGCAGGCTGCCCCACCTGACCGGTTATGTCTGGACAACTTGTACCTGCAACAGCGTCAGATCCCAGGGGCTGAGGGCTCAGCCCTAAGCCTAACACTGCCCTCCAGCCTCAGGTGTAGGCGTCTGCCGCGGGCTTCTTGCCTGTGCTGACAGACCGGAGGCAGTCTGGGGGTCCGATAGCCTCCTCCTGTGTTGGGTTAAACGGCGTGTGTGGTTCACAGAACAAAGAGAAATGTCAAGGTAGTTTTACAGGCTTATGAGGGATGGTATGAAGGACAGAGGTGGCGGGTGTACAGGTTAAGGGGTGTGTGCACTGTGATGGGGGCTCATGCCCTGGAGGGTCTGCTGCCGCCTCCTGGGGCCCTGCACATGCTCGGCTGTGCTTTGGGTTTAGATGCGGACTTCCCTGCCCAGAAAGGGCTGAAGCCTGCGCAGCTAGCTCTATCTGCCGCATCTGTCGCCTCAAGACTGGGGTGCTGGAGGCGCAGCTGAGGGCACAGCGGGCTCCCCACACACACGCCTTCCTGCGCACCAACCCCAGTGCCAAAACAAGGACGCAAATCCTGGGTGGGAAACACAGCGAGGCTGTCTGTCCAGGTTGCTCTCAGCCCCTCTGGGTAGCTGGCCCTCCCTCCAGGGTGGGGAAGTCCCCTTCTGAGGAGGGGTCTGAGGACCTCCTCACTTTCAGGATTTCCACAGAGGGAGCTCAAGGAGGAGAGAGAATAGAGGCTCACCAGGCCTCCGGTCACTGCTCCTGGAAAATCACTCTCAGCAAGATGTTCTCTAACGAAGCAGGCCAGGGAATTCCTTGAAGGCCATTTTGACGAGCGAAAGGTGCAGAAAGATGAGTTCCTGCCACGGGGAGGGAGTCACCCGCCAGGCGGCCGGTGTCATTGGATCATGCCGGGCGGGAGGACACGCTGCCAGTTGCACGAATGAAATATTTGAAAGCAGCATTTGTCTTCTCAACTTCAAAAGACTGGGATTGTGAAACGGAGTTTTATTAAGAAAGAGAGGAGGGTATTTAACTTTGCCAGTTACAAAAGAGGGATGTTTATTTCATTTCCTCTTCTTTGCTTTCTGCAGCGACTAACTGAATTCGCCTCGCTTTTCTGTGCAGCAGGTCTTAGATAAGTCTGTGGGAGACTTGCTCTCTTCTTTGGAGCCAGGGTGTCAAGTATCTTAGCACGAGAGTGTGCATCTCTCTCGCTGAGAGCAACTTTTCAGAGAGCAGTCAGTGGGAATCAGGGGCATAACCTAGTTTTATGTCTTCTTTTCTCCAACTCCCCATCCCTAAATTCTGACAGTGTTCTGGTCAGCGCAGCCAGCGCCTGGCCAGGCGAGGATGAGGAACAGGAGACACTGCCTAAGATCCCCAAACACTTACTGCCACATTCTAAACTCTCTCTTCTATTACCTTATTGCCTCTTTATGCCAAGCAAAGAATTTTTCTGTGCAAAACTTAGGGACAGTTGTCTAGAACCTCATGAAACATGAAGTGACTCAGAGCTGGAGTGGGGAATCTTTGAGTGATGTTTTTCAAAGTTAACACTGGGCTGGGGAGGACAGCTCAGACCGAAGAGCCTGCCTGGCAAGTGCAAGGTCCTGAGTTCGCTTTCTGGTACCCAAAAAAACAAACAAAAAGAACATTGAAAGTTCTTCCTGGGGCCAGGAAGATAGCTCAGCAGCGCAGTGCCTACCCGGCAAGCACCGTCCTGAGGTCAATTCCAGGGACCAAAAATAAAGAAATAAATGAATCAATAAAGTTAACGTTGATAGTTGCCGCCAACAATAGTTTTCTGTTTGCAAATGGTCTGACTCCAGCTACAACTTCACGATCCCGAGGAGGCTCGGGGGAGGCAGCGAGGAGCGTGTGGAACCTCCAGCAGCCAAGCGGACTTCCTGGCTGTCCTTCCCGCTGAGCAAATCTCTGGATAAGCCCTCGGCTCGTCCTTGGAGTGAGCCCTCGTGCCTGTGTGTCTTTACAGCTGTCCACTTAAGGTCTCCAGAGATTTGCTTGAGTGGAAGGGGAGACATGGCATAAAATCAAAGCCAGGGTAGCGCACGTCCACAATTTGTGTGTGGCTCCACTTCCAACTGGCTGAAAAGCCAAGCGCTCCGACAACACAATCTTTTCACCTGGCACGGGTCTTGCTGGGCTGCCCCTTGCAGTCCACGCTTATTGATTATCAACACTTTTCCCAGACGACCCAGCCACCTCCACGTTTGTGGGAAGCAAGCAGGGGACAGATCAATTATCCACTGAGAACATCTCTGGCAACTAATGTTTCCATCACAAAATCATTTTGAGATTCTGAGACGGCAACCCCTGACACATAAGCAAGCACCACGCTCCTCTACCATCTCCCACTACCCTAGAAACCAGCAGCGAGGACACAGAAAACCCTGGACTCACGGCCAAGCAGCGGGTAGCAACTTGGTGCTGCCTCCAGGACGAGATGATCTGATAACTCATTCAAAGCAACGAATATAGACACCGCTCTGCGCCCTCCGCTCGGCAGTGGGGGAGGCCCAAGCTGCTTGAAACCCAGAAAAGCAGCGAGTACTCACAATCATGATAAACGTGCCCAGGAACTCGGACACGGCCTCCCTGGCCAAGCTGCTCTTCAGGGCCAGCCTGTGCTTGCAGCCCCGGCCCGCCTCTCCCCCGTCAGCCGGCATTGCGGGGCTCCTCCTCGAGGGTGCGCGGCGCTGGTCCGAGTCCTGTCTTCACAGGCACATGGAGACGCTCTCGACAGCTCTGCTAGGTCCCGGGAGGTGTCCGGGGGCCTCTCCGGCTGTCCAGAGGCTGTCCAAATAAAAGCTGTGACTTAATCTTCTAGTGAGACCATCATCCCCAGCTCACTGCTATTTATTTGGATTAATGAGTTCTAACCTGCAATCTTCAAAATGGTCCTTTTCATGCCCGATAGATTAATCATTACCTTTATTCTCCAGGTATTTTTTTCTTTGTTGGTTTTTTCCCCCCTCTTCCAGATGAGAAAAGAGACGTGTTGGTGGGGTTGCCAAGCCACAGCGAGGGCGGGTCTGGTCCAGGAGAGATTTACATGTTACACAACTGCCGGCTGCTGAACTTTTCTTCATTACTACTCATGAGTGGGTGGCGGGGGTGTGATTTAGCAGGTATAGGTACGCAGAGTATAAACACTTTGCTAAAGCAGGTTTTCATCCAAATTAGAGAGTATGAGAAAAAAAATTCTATATTTTTGTTTGTTTGCTTTTTTGAGACAGGAACTCACTGTGCAGCTCAGGCTGGCCTTGAGCTCACTGTGCAGCCCAGGCTGGCGCTGGCCTTGAACTTGCAGCGATCCTCCTGCCTCAGCCTCTCAATGCTGGACTACAGGGGTATGCCACTATGCCTGGCTGTAGGTTCACTTTCTTATCAGATGAACGAGTGCCCCTCTCTCTCCCAGTATCATTTCAGCATGCCCATGACACTGATCTGAGGTTGATAAGGGTCCTGTGGGCTCCCTGGAGATGGAGACATCAACACACGGACAGGACTGCGAGCCCCCTTGGACCCCGGGGTAGGACGGGCCACCTCTGCCGCCGCGGGCGCTGTGAGCCCTGTCTACTGGGGGAGTGCACAAGGCTTGGGCCCCTGCACCAGGAGTGCAAGTGGGTTCCTGAGATTCCCTCGAACCATACCAAATGATTCTTGCCACTTACCATCAAGCAGCTCAGCAAAGCACCCAGAGAGTAAACGGAGCACCTTGTGGTCCTATGCTGGACGATGCCCACGCTAGAACAGCCTGAGGATGGGCCACCCCAGAGCCAAGGAGGGGCAAGCCCGCCTCTCGGCTCCTAGCTCTACCACCTAGGCCCAATGCGCTCATGTCCCTGGCGCGGCGAGCTGTGAGCGCCACAGCTTCTCATCCCGCCGAAGCTTCAAGCCTTGTTTCCCACGCTAGCTGGTGGAAAGAGAAGCCAGCAGTGGGATCTGACCCCAAGGCAGCCCCACAGAGACGGCACCCACACCTCAGGCTCCCGCCCCAACAGCCAGCTCTGCAGCTGGCCCTGCCCTCGATGGGCTGGAAGCCCTTGGCCGAGGCCAGTTGTGTGGGCAGGCAGCAGGCAGGAGAGAGGGGAGGGTCGGGGAGCACAGCGGGGAGAGCCAGGCACGGAGGAGGCGCCCGCCTGCACCCGACCATAGAATTTAGATCTGAAAACGTGAGCTCTGCAGGTAAAACTCAGTGCCTGGGCTTTCGCTCCTGTTAGTGCCGCGGTTGGCACCATCTCCTGGTTGCCTGTGACCAGGTCCAGGTGGACAGACCAGAGAAACAGGACCGATTGCTGTGACTTCAACTAGAAACACAGAGGGTGCTCTCTGTGCTCTCCACTCACTCACCTGACAAGTATGTATGGCACAATCTCCGGGCGCGAAGCACTGTGCCTGGGAGGGGCCCGCAGGGCTCCAGACGCCCCCGGCCCTCTGGGAGGGACATTGTCGCGCACACAGCGCACAATCACAGCACAAGTGTCCGCTCCACACACGTTGGGGGCCGTATTTCTACGGGCAGAGGTACCAAAGTATCTCACCTTGCCGGATGGGTGTCGATGGTGTCACCACAGACGTCAGGTCGGAGCTGAGGTCAGCAAGATGCCAGCGGTTGGTCACTAAAATGGGGAAGGAGGCACGTGTACTAAGACTGTGAGACTTGGGGGTGTGGGGTGGGGACAGCAGGGGGCACCTGGCAAAGAATGAAGGCTGCGCCCATGCAGCTGGCCTGTGGGGAACCCTGGAAGTCATGGGGTGCCCTAAAAGCAGAGTACATCCTGGATGGATGAAGGAGGACAGGACACCGTTGGGTCTGAGAGTTCGGAAAAGCACTTCCTGGCTGTGTGCGTGGCGGGGAGGATTGAAGGGAGCCTGAAGGGCCATGAATTCTTTATGTCCTAAAATTGGAAGGACTTGGCGGATTGGGTGTGGTGATGGGGACCAAGGACTCCCCAAGGTCGGTGTGCAGATTATCGGATTCCTGGCTTCATGGGAAAGGTGGTGCTGAGTGCTGGGAGTGAGCACGGAGTGTGTGGAGGTTGCGCAGTCTCCCCTGGAGATGCTGAGCTGTGGGCGCTTCCCAGAGGCAAGCAGGAGGCTCGCGTCTGGGTGCTGTGGGTGCGAATGCCGCTGCGCACAGCAAGCTGAGGGTGGGGACAAGGCTCCCCAGGGGAAGATTTGCAGCAGATGGAGATGGAGCTTCCTGCTCAGAGAGAGGAGGGTGCATCTCTTATTTCTTCTATCCTGTTATTGGGTAGCAGCCACTCCTTCCCTTCCACCTCCATGAACAAGGTCTTAAAGGTAACTCACTGGATTTCCCAACCCCCAACCCCCAGGAGCCTCCCAAGGACAGGGACAGTGCACCATCCCCTGCCTGCAGCTCTGAGAATACTCTGCTCCACGTTCCTACTGGAGTCTGGGGCAGCTGCTTCCTTCATGTAGTGGTGGTAGAATAGAAGAACTGGGGTACAAGGGGACAAGGGAGGCGAGCTTTGCAGAGCTGAGCTGTCAAGAAGCGCCACAGCTTCCAAACGCAGCCTGGGTTAGTCCCTTTTCCCCGCCCAGACGCCAACCTGGGCAAGTCACCTTCAGATCCAAGGGGTCCCAGGCCCCTTTAACTGCGCATCATTCTCTTTCACCCCTGAGTGGACCCTGCTTTGGGTGTTCCCCCAGGAATAGACCTCACTGGGGGACACACAGCCCTTAGCACCTCTCAGACTAAGGCCAGGAGCATAGATGATCAAGTCCAGCTTCCACCCCCATGCGCGTACCGGGCTCCAGCCCAGCTCTGTGGCACCTCTTTTCTAGAGGAGCCCCACCCCGCTCTCGGTGCGCCGGTGTCTGCCTCTTGCAAGTCCTTCTCACGCCTCTTACTGATGCGATCCTGAAAATTCTTTTTCCATGGTCAGACTCAGCAAACCCACATATTTAAAGGCACGGGTTAAATTCCTTATTTCAACCTTGGGGACGCTTACACCCAGCCTGGTGGTACATCCATCTAGAAAAAAAACTTTTCCTGAGTGTTTACTTCATCTTCAAAGATTGGGGATTTGGCTAGGCCTGGTGGCTCACCCCTGTAACCGCAGCACTCGTGAGGCTGAGGCAGGAGGCTTTCTGTGATTTCAAGGCCAGCCTGGGCTACAAAGTGAGACCCTGTCTCAAATGCGGAGGGAAAAAAAAAAACCTGGAGATTCAAAGATAGATACCTCTAAAAGAATTCCTAGTCTAAGTGACCAGACCCCCTAATAAATACCCCATTCTGTAAGTAGTTACATGCGGAAGTACTGAACCAAAATCGCTCCTGTTGACCGTGGGGAGCGCATTTGCCGGCCCGGCCCCCCAGCTCAGGCTGTGCGCCCCGGTGAAGGCCTGCCCGCAGGCCTTAGTGCCCCACACTGTCCGCTCTGCTTCGTGGCTCCGCCCGCTCCTAGGCCCCAAGGCCCCTAAAGGTTTAGGCATGTGCCCATCCCCCACTTCGACCTCCCCGGCAGCCTCTCCTGCCCTGCCCACCACACCTCCCTCCTCTAACTCAGGGCCTCTGTCCAGTCCCATGGACCGTATCACCCCACGAGGGGCCACGGCTCTTCTTTCATGTCTGGCACCAAAATCCACGGCATGGGTGATGACGTGGTCCGCACAGGTCACGCACTCCTGGCCTCCCGCACACCTCACACCTGAGCTCTCTGAGCTGACCCTGAGACCCCCAGGTGGGGTGCCCTCACTGCGCCGGGGGCTCCTCCACCCTCATGGCACCCGCGCAGCCCGGATGCACTCAGCCTGGATCTTCTCAAGGATTTTCTCCCCAGAGATCAGAGAGCAAAAGTCCCACCACGAATCGGTCGGTCCCCTGTGGGTCGCCAAGAGTGAGCAACGGCCCCTGGTCTTCCCTTGGTGGACCTTTTATTTGAAAGGTTCCGGATTTTATAACACATTAGGATCATGCATTTTTGGAGATGCTGATCCGATATCATCCTGAATACTTACTTCCACTCCTCAAAAGACTGGGGATTTGGCGGGGCCTGGTGAAGCGCTCCTATAATCTCAGCTCTCGGGAGGCCGAAGTAGGAGGGTTGCTATGAGTCCGAGGCCGGCCTGAGACCCTGTCTCAGAGAAACACCAGGGACTCCAAGGTCCTCAGCTTGCTGGAGGCCGGGAATCTCAGGGTTCCCTGCTAATTCCGACCCCACCCGCCACCCACCCCTCTTCTGCGCCCCTCAGCGATTAACCCATTGGGAAGGAGGGATTGGCTGCAGTTCTGCGCGCGTCCCCGCCCCTCCAGTTGTCCAGATCTATCTCTGTGTGCTCCTGGCTCGGCTCCTTTGGGGCCAGGAAGAACCCCTCAGCGGTCTCCTTCCCAGCAGGCTTTTGTCCCAGGCCCTAAACAAGCCTGAGTCTCTCTCAGAGAAACACCCTTTGGAGTTGATTTAACTCAAAGAGGCATTTCATCTGGCAGTGCCGCTTTCTCCCTTGTCCCTTTGGGGACAAAAGTGTCTTTTCCTCCAGTGTAAAAGTATTTTAAATTGAAAAAAAATTAATTCGGAAGTATTTAAAGTAAAATGTTAAAGTCTGTCATAACCTTGAGCCTCAGGAAAGCTCCTGTTACGGTGAATGTAGCAGTGGCTGTAGCTCAGGGGCGCAAGGGCCTGCCTAGCAAGCACAAGGGCCTGAGTTCAAGTCACACAGAACGAAACAAACCAGAAATGCTACTATTAGCAGACTGGTATGTATTCTTGCAGAAATTTGTAAACAGTTTATATAATGTTTTTTCTCTTGAAAGCAGGATTATCTGTATTTGTCAGACTAATGGTAACAAGCAACAAATGAGCTACAGAAATTTGTCTTTTCTTCTGCCTCTTTTTTTTTTTTTTTGAGACAGGGTCTCACTATGTACTTAGGATTGGCCTCGAATCTGGAATCTGCAACGATCCTCCTGCCTCAGCCTCCCAAGTGCTGGGATTACAGACAGGTGCCACCATGTCTGGCCCTTTTTGATTGGTTGCTTTTTAAGATAGGATCTCATTATGTGGTTCAGGCTGGGTTTAAACTCATTTGAACTCCTGGAGATCCTCCCGCCTCAGCCTCCCAAGTGCTGGGATTACAGGTGGGTGCCACCATACCCAGCTGAGATTTCCGTATTTATATATCACATTAAAGTGTTTAAATAGCCCAAGAATTATCTGCCCCTGTTGACCCCAGAAAGAATGGTTGTCATCAAGAAGTCAACCAACAACACATGTTCAAGAGGCCATGGGGGATAAAGGAGCCCTTTCCCACTAGTGGTGGGCGTGCAGACTGGCACAACCACTATGGAAATCAGTGTAGAGACTGCTCAAAAAGCTAGGATTGGGGATCCCATCCAACCAGTTATTTCCCTACTGGGTATTTTTCCAGAACAACTGGAAACACCATACCACAGTGATATATGGCCTACATATAGAGCAGTTTATAGCAGCTCTGTTTGTCATAGCAAAATCTTGGAAACAACCAAAATGTCATCAACCGAGGAATAGATTTACAAAGATGTGGCATTTTTATGCAGTGGACTATTACTCGATTATAAAAACGATAAACGTGAGGCTCTATAGGTCAGAGGATGCGGCTTGAGAGCATACTCATAAGTGAAGTAAATCAGACCCGCATGTGCAGACGTCATTTGCTGGTGCAAGAACTGAAAGAGTAACTAAAATCTGAAGGGTGCAGTAGGTACCGTGAAAGGGAAAGAATCTGTTCAAAAGGAAGGAACAGCCTGGATGAGGAAAAAGACAGGAAAGGGCGGGAGATACTTATGCAAGTATGTGGGGGCCTGACAGTTGTACTGTGGATTTCTGCTGGTCTACAGAGAAGAGTAGTTGACGCTTAATTTTTTTCTTGTCCTTTTTAATTTCTTACAACTTTTTTTTTTTTTTTTTTTTTTTTTTATGGAAGGGTCTACAGGGTGTCCAAGGTCTCACTACTAGATCTGACTCATAGTGATCCACCTGTTTACAGCCTCCCAAGAGCTGGGATTACAGGCATGTGCCACTAACCACCACGCCCAGTCTCAATCAATCGCCGTCTCAGCACACCCCAGGGGCAGGGCTGGCACAGTAGGCTTGGGGATCGAATAGCTTCAATTTTTTAACACCAATTTTACATGCTTATGCCTCGTAATCTGAACAATTAGTTTAAAGACAATGTTATGCAATACAGCAACTATTGTAGAATTAAAAACAAGTTGAAGCCAGGTGTGGTGGCATACACCTGCCACTGTGAATTCAAGGACAGACTGGGTCACACAGTGAGTGTATGGCCAGCTTGATTATATAGCAAAATCCTGTCTCAACAAAGACAAAACATCACAGAGAGCACATTGGCCAAGCAATGGCCGCGACTCATCCACATGGCTGACACTGACAAAGGTTCTACAATCTGAGGTACAGGATCTCAGGATAAATCCTGAGGGGATTTCACTGACCTTATCGGACCCAAAAGTTACAACTCTTGTTGCACAGGTCCTGCTTTACCTTGGTTTTAACCATCCAGCAGAAAAGTATAAAAACGAAGTATAAGAAGTAAAGCCATGGTGTTATGTTGAGCTGTAGGGGACTCAGGTCAACAATTTCTGACATTGCCAGTCAAG